CTTTCCTGCAGCAAAGTCCCAGACCGCCACAGTGAGTCAGAGAGACACATTTCAGAGTTGCCTCCCCCGGGGGGGCAGTTTATCATTTTACATGCTCATTAAGTAGCTTACAGAAATACGCAGGGACAGCAGTCATAAACGACTGCGGTCATCTGAAAAAATCTTTGTTGATGTTATTTAGTGAAAAAGCTCTCGTTTGATTTGCGTTTCTTAGACCACTAGAGCGCTCCGTGCTCTGGCACTGTTTAATAATCTTCCTCTATGATTTTGGAACAGAGGTAACATGCCCTCTATTAATACAAATCATTAATTCCCAGCTCAGGCTCCTTAGAACTTCCTGGACCCTGTTCCTGGAATCAGAGCTCAGTGTTCTCAGCATTGGACCAGAGGCCTCATCTCTGTCTAGGAAGTCCTGTGCTGTTTCCAGATGGTCCCCTGCTCTCTTCAGTGGCCGCGTTGGAACCTGCAGCTTCGGCTCTTTTCCTCTCAGAACCCAGGGGCAGCAAAACAAGGGAGCCCCGCTTACCGGGCTGGACTTGGACTTTACTTGTGGTCAGACAGTGTGGGCATCATCTTCCTTCGTGGTGGGCTCTTTGTGTCCTTGTCGCCTTGGTTGCCAGGGAGGGACTGGAGGCTCTCACCCAGGTGCCTAGTGGGGACAAAGAGTGGAGAGGGGATGCTCTAGTTGGTTATCATTTTCCTTTGTAAAACTTTGAATTCTCTAGAATGTTCCCATAGAGGGGCAAGTTATAAGTAAGTAAAATGATTAAAATGTGCTTCCATGGCTGTAAAGGGGGTTCTGTTAGTGAACCCTGAAATCACTTAGCTATAAGTGCTCATTCTTATTACCCTAGTTTCGCAGAGTCAGGAAACACTTGTGAAGGTTCTAGAACCTTCTAGAAGTGAGGGTAACTAGCTTGAGGGAAGGACAGGAGAAAAGGTTTGGAGAACCAGAGACTTGCATTGTGGCCTTCTAGCGTATGTCCCATTGCGCGGTATTTTTAACCTTTGCCAGTCTGACAGACAAAGCATTGTATATTCTTTTTTTCTTTAAAAATTTTTTTTAACGTTCATTTATTTTTGAGAGAGAGAGAAACAGAGCATGGGCAGGGGAGGGGCAGAGAGAAAGGGAGACACAGAATCCGAAACAGGCTCCAGATTCTGAGCTGTCCACACAGAGCCTGATGCAGGGCTTGAACTCATGGACCAAGAGGTCATGACCTGAGCCGAAGTCAGACGCTGAACCGACTGAGCCACCCAGGGGCCCCATGGAGTGAGTTGTTTTGTGTCCGACTATGCAGACGTTTTCTCTGGTTTGTCATTTGCCTTTTGGCTTATAGTATTTCACCTAAAGAAGGGGTGTGTGTGTGTGTGTGTGTGTGTGTGTGTGTGTGTGTGTTTGTATACAGTTTCAAAACTACAGTAGGAAATAACTTATATTTACCTACCATCCAGAATGCACGGACATTTCTGTGTTGTCGTTTTGGCTTATTTCTTTTTTTTTTTTTTTTTTAATTTTTGGGACAGAGAGAGACAGAGCATGAACAGGGGAGGGGCAGAGAGAGAGGGAGACACAGAATCGGAAACAGGCTCCAGGCTCCGAGCCATCCGCCCAGAGCCCGACGCGGGGCTCGAACTCACGGACCGCGAGATCGTGACCTGGCTGAAGTCGGACGCTTAACCGACTGCGCCACCCAGGCGCCCCTTGGCTTATTTCTTATAAAGGAAGTAGGATGTTAAAGATGAATTGGAATCGTCCTGACTCCCCTTCCTGTATTCCATTTCCCCCTCCCCCAGGACAGCTGTTGTCAAGAATGGAGCGTGTGGATCCTTCCAGTTCCAGTTTGTCTTCTGTTATCACACCTATCAATATCATAAAGGGTCCACAGTACTAGTTTGTGGGTGCAAATGTGTGTTCATGCTTTAACTTGTATGTATATCATGTTAATGCGTTGTTGAGCAATCTGCCTCATTTGCACAGCGGTGTGTTTAGTTCGATGCATAGTGACGTATACAAATCTAGTTCATTCATTTTGACTGCCGTGTAGTGTTGCATCCATTGACTATAACTTCCACAGTGTATTTTTTTTTTTAATGTTTACTTATTTTTGAGAGAGAGGAAGACAGAGCGGGTCACGGGCAGAGAGAGAGGGAGACACAGAATCCGAAGCAGGCTCCGGGCTCCGAGCTGTCAGCACAGACCCTGACGTGGGGCTTGAACCCATGAACTGCGAGATCATGACCTGAGCCAAAGTCGGACGCTTAACCGACCGAGCCACCCATGTGCCCCTCTTCCTCAATGTGTTTTATCAGTTTTCCTATACGGGTGGACGGGGACGTGGATAGATGCTGCTGGCTGTCTAGGTTTTCACTGCAGTGCTGTAGTGAACAACTGTACATGTCCCTTGGGACATCTTCTCAAGGGGCGTCCTTAGGAGTATGTGGCAGGTAATGTGGATTTTCAGTGATATGGGCTCTTGCCAAATTTTTGCCAAAGGGCTCATGCCAATTGGCACTCCCACCAGCAGCGTGAAAGGCTTTCTGTTGTCCCCACACCTTCATCAAGACTCTGTACTGTCAGGGGGCGCCTGGGTCAGTTAAGCGTCCGACTCTTGATCTCTGCTCAGGTCATGATCTTGTGGTTTGTGGGTTCGAACCCTGCATCCGGCTCTGCGCTGATGGTGCAGAGCCTGCTTAGGATTCTCTCTGTCTGTCTCTCTCTCTCTCTCTCTGCCCCTCCCTCACTCGTATGCACATGCGTGCTCTCTCTCAAAATAAATAAACATTAAAAAAAAAAAAGACTCAGGGGGCGCCTGGGTGGCTCAGTCAGTTGAGCGTCAGACTTCGGCTCAGGTCATGATCTCGCAGTTCGTGAGATTGAGCCCCGCGTCGGGCTCTGTGCTGACAGCTCGGAGCCCGGAGGCTGCTTCGGATTCTGTGTCTCCCTCTCTCTCTGCCCCTCCCCTGCTGATGCTCTGTCTCTCTCTCCTTCAAACATAAATAAACATTAAAAAAAAAAAAAAGACTCAGTACTGTCGGGCTTAGTGATTTTAGCCCATCTGGGAATGAGATAGCATCTCATGGTTTTAATTTGCATATCCTGATTGCTGGTGGGCTTGAACATCTTTTAAAATAGTTACTGCCTAGAGTTTAACAGATTTTCTCTTCTCTGCACCTTTGCTGCTTCTCCCCCGCTCATTTTTTCCGTTGGGTTGTCTGGGTTGTCTTGCTGGGTTGGTGTTCTTTATGTTTTAGATGCCATTGCCTTGTTACATGTATTGTAGCCATCTTCTGGCTTCCAGCCGGGCTTTCCTTTTCTCTCTTCAACGAAAGCATTCATTGCCTTCCGTTAGACCAGTTGGTAAACCCTCCTCATATGAGGCTCAGTTGAAACTACATTATATCCCCAAGAAGTGCAGCATTAAAATTCAGAGCATTAAAACGTTCTTTAAAAAAAATTTTTTTTTCAATGTTTATTTGTCTTTGAGAGACAGAGACAGAACATAAGCGGGGGAGAGGCAGAGCGAGGGAGACACAGAATCCAAAGCAGGCTCCAGGCTTCGAGCTGTCAGCACAGAGCCCGACGCGGGGCTCGAACCCACGGACTGTGAGATCAGGACTTGAGCCGAAGTTGGACACTTAACCAACTGAGCCCCCCAGGCACCCCGCGTTTTCTTACGACACTTTCCCTTTTTTACACTGAGGTCTGTAATCCATCTGGAGGTTTTTTTGCTTTTGTAGTTAAATGCATTTCCTTTTTTGTGACTTTGCCTCTGCACTGATACTCCCCAAGTCCTCTATCAGCTCCAACAGGTCGACATCACCAGGCTTTTCTCCGTCACCTGGTGCTCTTTGCTTGCTCTGGGAGTCCCAGGTGAGGCACTCAGTAGTTTATCAAGGTCACGTCTCTGTCTCAAGCACTGTCAGTGTTTGTGACGTTGATGACTTTGCTTTCACGTTGTGGACCCTGGCTCCAAGGGGCGTCATTTCACCAGTGTAGACTTCATTCAGTTTTTGAAACTTCCACGTGTTTCAGTGCCACTGGCCCTGGCAGTATTCTCAGATCTGAGAATGCTGCTTGCTGGGTCACAGCCCCAGGGTCTCCCGTAAAGACGCTCCTGCTTCACCTTGAACCTGTGACCCTGTATTTTTTCATTAGGGGTCAATGGAATTGATAAAGTATGCTGTTCTTGTCAGCGTCCTAGCTTTACAGAAACTATAAAGCGACATCTAAGGAGCCCAGGGTGCTTGGTATTTTTCCCACTCCATTTTGCCCCATTTGGATCAGGAGGAAACAGTAAAAGTCATTATCCGTCCAACAATGTGTATTTTCCGTGGTTGAAAAGATGAAAAGATACACGAAAGTAAGGAGAATAAAGTTGAGCTGTTGGGGCGCCTGGGCGGCTCCGTTGGTTAAACATCCAACTTCAGCTCCAGTCATGATCTCGTGGTTCGTGAGTTCGAGGCCCGCGTCGGGCTCTCTGCCCCTCCCCCGCTCGTACTTTCTCTAACTCAAAAATATGTAAACGTTAAAAAAAAAAAAAAAAAGTGACCAATTTACAGGACTTTCCTGATAGGTTGTCGCCAATGTCCCCTGGAGAACCTGTCAAAGATAACGTCCCAAATACCTGTGGGAAACGGCTCCCCAACGGACTATAGCCCGTACCCCCACTGAATGCACCTGTCGTCCTGTCGCCAATGTCTCACTGGTTTCCTTCTCAGCAGAGTGGAAGTGGGGGAAGAGGGTGTGGGATGAGTCCCAAGGCAGCGCTGGGGTCCCCTGCCACACGGCACCCGCCAGGGGCCTGGTCCCCTGGCCTCAGCCTGCCCATCGCCACGGCCACGGCCACCGGCGGCTTTCAGCAATCACGGACCGTTATTGCCAGTTGACATTTGTTTTGCACGTTTGTTTCTGCTTAAAAACATTTTACCTTTGTTCCTCCTTTTTTCACCTCGTATCAACATTTTCTTCTTACGCCGCCTTTGCGTTTTCTCCTCAGGCCGGAAGCTGAGAGGAAAAGCCTTTTATTTTGTCAACGGCAAAGTGTTTTGCGAGGAGGACTTCCTGGTGAGTTCGTCCCCGGACTTGCCCTGCCCCGAGTCGGGACCGGAGTCAGGGGGAGACTGTGGGGAGGCCCAGGCCGGGTACAACAGTGTGGTTTCTCTCCGGGGTTTCCTGTGCTGGTGGAGAGCGGAGCGCTGCCGGAGAAAGGGGGTCCCGACTTTCCTTCTGAGGATGCCCGGGGTGGTGCTTGTTCCCGAAGCAGAGGACAGACCCTAGAGCTTTGTGCTTGGGAGGGACTCAGGGTCGCTTGGCCTGTCCTCCTGTGCTCTGCTCATTTCCGCCTCCCCCACCTCTCTCTCTTAAACCTGTGCCCTGGGGTTCAGGCCTGCGTTACCTTGAACCCTGTCTGCTCTCTGCGGGCATCCGGCCTCTGTCACGCTTCAGAAGTCCACCCACGGGCCAGGGACTCCCAGACCCGAGCTCCAGCCCTGCCAGCACCTGCCAGCCAGCTGCTGACCCCTCGATGGCCCGGACGGTCCCCCAGCCTTTCCATAACCACTTGTCTGAAGCAGAAACACCAGGTTGCCCTGGGTCCTCATCCCTGAGATGTGTGTCCTAGGTTCATCCTCGGCCCCTCCTCCTTCCCACCTCTCCCACAACGTGGCCAAGCATTGACCCTTGTGCCACCGCGGCCTCCCTGGGCCCCGCTTAGCTTCCCAAAGCCAGTGTGGCTCAGCCACGCTACCTGTGTGTCAAGCCAGCCCGCTCAGGCCCCACGTCTCCAGGGCTCGAAGCCTGTGCAGAAGCTGTCTGTGGTCCAGAGCCTACCTGGTGTCTCTCCCGTTCCACTGTTTGTAGTTGTGTGTGCCTGTGTGTTTTGGTAAAGTAAGGTAGAGAGTCTTTACCGAGTTTCTTTGAAACTGAAGGCATTGGCTAACCAGAGCCAGACTTGAATTTGAATCGTATCCTTACCCCTAATAGGCTGTGCGACGTTGTGCAGGTTGCTTACCCTCTCTGAGCTTCCCTTGTTTCCATCTGAGAAATGGTACGGTACATACCTCGTTTTAAGAATTGTCTTAAGGGGCACCTGGGTGGCTCAGCCAGTTAAGTGTTTGACTTCGGCTCAGGTCACGATCTCGCGGCTCATGAGTTCGAGCCCCGCGTCGGGCCCTGTGCTGACAGCTCGGAGCCTGGAGCCCGCTTTGGATTCTGTGTCTCCCTCTCTCTGCCCCTCCTCCACCCACATTCAGTCTCTGTCTCTCTGTCCTTCTCAAAAATAAATAAAACATTAAAAACATAAAAAATGGGTTTAAGGACTGGAGTGCTGGTGTCAGGCTTAAGCCTGTGTCAGAGTCCCCTGCAAGGCTTTGTGAACACGCGGATCACCGGGTCCCACCCCAGTTTCCCAGTCAGTAGGTCCGGGATGGAGCCCAAATGTGCATTTCTCATAAGTTCCCAGGTGATTCCGGGGGACCCCTCTTTGAGAACCACTGGCCTAGAGACAGAGCCTGGCATGTCGTGGGTGCCCAGATGCAGCTGTTGTCAGGGCGAGTGGCATCAGTGTTAGCAATGGCTCTGTGGCACGGGATATTTCGTGATTCATCCCACAACCCACATCCCCACAACCTGTGTTCTGAGAAGTGACAGATTCCGACCTAGAGGGACACATCTCTCTGTGAAGGTGTCATCCTCGTGACTGGCGGGCAAGTGGCCGGGCCATCTGTGCCCTGACAGGTTTACCTTTGCTTTCTTTCTCCTCTGCAGTACTCCGGGTTCCAGCAATCTGCCGACAGGTGTTTCCTTTGTGGACATCTGATCATGGATATGGTGAGTCAGTCGGGTCACCAAGCGAGATTATGGCAGCGGGGGGAGGGGGGAGGCGGTCACAGAAAAGAAGAAATCGGTAGTTGAGAACTGTGTTTCCTACCCTTGTTTGTGGTCGCATCTGGTTTTATTAAGAAAAGACCCTGTGTGACACAGGTCTGCTTGTCCTAGGAGAAACCCCATTGTTGGCTTTGAGCGGCCTCAGCATCCTTAGCCGTGTAGTCCCCACAATGCTGTGTTTCTGATGATGTTCTCTCCTCTGGGCTGTTGGGACCACACCGGCCTCCCTCTCATTTTCTGTGGTCCTCGTGGTGTCCCGGGTGAGACGCCAGATGCCAGACGTCATCTACCTCGGAGTTGGGTACAGAAAGTCGGGTAAACACGGTTCATGGTCCCCCACGTTCTGCCTGGCTCCGTCTGTTCCTAAGATGAGTTTGGGGGACAGGGGTGGCTGTCTTTAGTTCTGAGACAGCAGAGCAAGAAGCAGCTGGCTCTCTGAGCTTGTCTTGGGCCTCAGTGCGTTTATCTCTCCAGTGGGGACGGTTTTTCTTTCCTGGTCTCCTTATTGGGTAAGGTTGTGAGGTTAACAAACACAGAATACTTTGTCTGAGGGATCAAATTGTCCAGCACCGGAGATCAGGCCTTAAGAATGTCTTTAACGCACTGGTCGAAGAAAATCATTGTACGATATTCTTTTTAAAGTTTCTTTGATTTAAAACATTTTTTTTTATTTGAGCAAGAGAGAGAGAATCTTAAGCAGGCTCCATGGAGCCCGATGCTGGGCTCAATCCCAAGACCCTGGTATCATGATCTGAGCCGGAATCAAGAGTCAGACACTCAACCACTTAAGCCACCCAGGCACCCCTACAATCTTCTTTTAGTTGGAAAGAATTCAATCTCTCTCTAAGCTGACCCATTCATCCCGTTCTGGAGAAGGGAATTGCTCATCATTGCTGTTTTTTCCTTTTACCTTTTTGTTGAGAAACAGCTCACAGAATAGTGTATGTTTTAAGCGTACAGGTGAATGAAGTTTTACATGTGCATATACCTGTGTAACCACCACCCAGGTCAAAATACGGATGTTTCCTACATCCCACACCCCAGAAAGTTCCTTCTTGTCTTCCTCCCAGTCCAGACCCCCTCCTCCAAAGGTCCCCTCTCTCGCTCCAGATTCGTTTTGCTGGTCCTGGAACTTCATATAAATGCAATCATACAGTACCGAGTCCTTTGGGTCTGCGTTTTCTCCCTTAGAAAATGTTTTTGAGTGTGGGGAGGGGGGCAGGAGCCTGGGTGGCTGAGTCGGTTGAGCATCTGACTCTTGATTTCAGCTCAGGTCACGATCTCATGGTTTGTGAGTTTGAGCCCCGCATTGGGCTCTGCACTGACAGTGTGGAGCCTGCTTGGGATTCTCTCTCTCTCTCTCTCTCTCGCTCTCGCTCTCGCTCTCGCTCTCTCTCTGCCCCTCCCTCACTTGTGCACACATACCTGCGCTCTCACTCTCTCAAAATAAATAAATACACTTAAAAAAAAACAAGAAAATGTTTTTGAGGTTCACGCATGTTGTTGCCTGTGTCCGTAGTTCATTTATTTTCATTGCTAGATAGACTCCCATTGTATGGATACAGCAGTTTGGGGGCCTATTATCCAGCCGATGGGGGTTTGGATGGTTTCCAGTTTGAAGGCTATTTATGAATAAAGCTGCTGTGAACACTCTTGGGCGTATTGTTGGACACAGGCGCTCATTTCTGCCGGCTCTGTGCTAACATGTATAACACAGAGGTGAACCGAGCCCTCCCTGTTCACGAGAAGAAGCCTACCATTGTCCCGGGTCTGACACACGACAGTGGAGCTCAGCCCCTGTGAGAGCTGGGTCCTCGTTAGTAGCCAAGACCTCCCTGGGGAGCATGGCTCTCCACCCACTTCCCCAGGGGAGGCAGGCGGGAGCCCACACCCTCACCCCTACCTTCCACGGATGCCAGCCAGTCTCCATAGGGATCTATTTCGTTAGGAGAATTTGTCCTTGATTTTCGAGTCCTTCTAACAAACTCTCTACATACGAGGTCAACAGTGTCCAAAGTTATGAATGCGATTCTACCCTATTCTTACTTCTGGGTATCCTAAGCCTTCTTTGGGCCTCAGAGCACCTCATTTACCTATTGCTGCATAGTAAACCACCCCATGATGTGGTGGTTTCAAACAACAGTGATTTGGGGCGCCTGGGTGGCTCAGTTGGTTAAGTGTTGACTTCAGCTCAGGTCATGATCTCATGGTTTATGGGTTTGAGCCCCGCAGGGGGCTCTGTGCTGACAGCTCAGAGCCTGGAGCCTGCTTCGGATTCTGTGTCTCCCTCTCTCTCTGCCTCTCCCCTGCTCCCACGCACGCTCTCTCTCAAAAATAAACATTAAAAATTTTTTTTAGACTCCAGTGATTTATTTATCGTGATTCACGGAATTAAGTCAGGGCTCAGCGGGATGATTCTTCTACTCCGTGTGGCATCGGCTGGGGTCACTCACTCAGCTGCGTTCAGCTGGTGTCACAGTTGAGTGCCAGAGATGGCCTCTCCCCTCCAGGCCTTTCTCTCCGAGGCTGCTGACCTCATTCAGTAGTCTAGCCTGGACAACTTCCCTTCTAGAGAGAGGAAGGGAAGCTGTCAGGCTTCTTAAGTCCTCAGCTCAGAAATTTCTGAACATCATTTCTTCCTCATTCTGTTAATCAAAGAACATCACAAGGCCAGTCTCAATTCACGAGATGGGGAAGATCTCCTCCACTTTTTTTTTTCTGTTTAAGTTTATTTATTTATTTTAAGAGAGGGGGAGGGAGAGAGCAGGGGAGGGGCAGAGAGAGAGGAGAGAGAGAGAATCCCAAGCAGGCCGTCAGCACAGACAGTGTGGGAGCTTGAACCCACGAACCTCGAGATCATGACCTGAGCAGAAACCAAGAGTCGGACACTTCAGCGACTGAGCCTCCCAGGCACCCCTCTTCAAAAATTTTTTAACATTTATTTTATTTTTGAGAGAGAGAGAGACAGAGTGTGAGCAGGGGAGGGGCAGAGAGAGAGAAAGAGAGACAGAATCTGAAATAGGTTCCAGGCTCCAAGCTGTCAGCACAGAGCCTGACGTGGGGCTCGAAGTTGGGAACGGTGAGATCATGACCTGAGTTGAAGTCGGATGCCTCACCGACTGAGCCACCCAGGCGCCCCTCTCCTCTTCCACTTCTTGAAGTGAGGGCCAGCCTTGCATACAGGAAGGGAAAGAACGAAGCTTTGGAACCATCTCTACCACACGAGGATAATGGGAAGTTGGACCTGGGCCCTTGCCGGTCTTCTCTAGGACTTGGAAACTTTTGGCAAATGCCTGCCCGGTAGTGACCCCCTCTTTTAAAACCAGAACCCTTCAGGCGTGCCTGGGTGGCTCAGTCGGTTGAGCGTCCGACTTCGGCGCAGGTCACGATCTCGCAGTTCGTGACTTCGAGCCCCGCGTCGGGCTCTGTGCTGATGGCTCAGAGCCTGGAGCCTGCTTCCGATTTGGTGTCTCCCTCTCTCTCTGCCCCTCCCTGCTCACGCTCTGTCTCTCTCTCTTTCAAAAATATATAAATAGTTAAAAAAATTAAACCAGAACCCTTCACTGTTGCCAAGAGTTTTTACAATGCAGAGAAAGATCCCTTCAAAACCATTCTTGGTTCTCCAAGAGGACCAATCAGTTGTCCAATTCTCTGTATAAACCATCTGTGCCCCTCACCTGCCCCCTTAGTAGAGTGGAATACTCCTAGCCTGCAGGCTGAAACTGGGCATTTTCCCACAGTAAAAAGAAAGATCACAGTGAGTCAGAGTGCACTTTAGGCACGTTGTGGGTTAAGTTAATTTCAGGGTCCCTTCTGCCAAGACAGCATTAGCCTGGGAGCAGAATGCATTCCAAGGTCCGGATTGCCAAGTGGACTTTGGAAGCCCGGCTGGTGGTTCTTCCCACTTTGGCAGCTTCCTGCAGATTGAAAGGGGTCCCGAAGGTTAGTGCCACACCGGAGGGAATGAGGAAGCTGGAAAGCTGAGCCTTCAGAGCACACGAAGCCCCCAGCTCTCCCCCTTGGCTGCGGCGTGCGAGGTGTGGCGTTGGCCTTGGCGGGGGAAACGTCGGGCTCTGGAGCACACCCTTCCTGCAGGTGTCACATGCACCAACAAGGTTTTCCTCAGTCGCAAGCCCCCTTCCTGCTGCCTAGTTGAAAGCATTCTGTGTGGCCCCCCTCCAGGGCGCTGCTAACTGTCTGTGCGTTCCTCGCACCCGGGCATTTTAGCAACAGCCTTGCGGGTGTTCAGCTGTTCGTGCTACGTTTCCTGGCACGGGTGATCACAGAAGTGAATCTCCTGTTGAGTCGGTGAAAATGCTTTCAGCTGCAAATTATAGAAAAACCCAGACTTGTTGGAACGCAGACCAGTGGCTCTCAGACTTTCGCACGCATTGGAATCATGGTACGAAAACACTACGTGCCAGGGTTTACCCTAGAACTTCTGATTCTGGAGAGCCGGGTTGGGGCCTGGGAATGGATGTTTTTTAACACGTTCCCGGAGGGTGTGGATACTGCGGGTCCAGGGACCGCGCTGTGAGATGCGCTGACTTGATAGGAAAGCTGTATTACGTCACCCAGCAACGAGCTTGGAGGCAGGCAGTTCCGCCAGGAGGTAATTTGCTCACCGGCTGACCTCACCAAGGGTGTTCTTCACATCTCATCTCTCTCCTACCTTGTGTCGGCTCTGTCCTGGTTCCAGGACTGCCTCTTACCTCTCCAGGCATCACAACCAGATCAAATGGCACTAAGGCTTGTGGAGCCTTCTCTCCGTGTCGGGTTTAAAAACAAGAGCAACCAAAGAGGCTTTGCTTAGGCTTGGATTTGAAGTCATCCGTGGTCGAGTCACAGTTCGTGGATTATCCCGCTGCGGAGTGAAAGCCGCTTAGAAGGGGCACCTGGGAGGCAGACGCGAAGGGGCTTGGGATGGAGCCCTCTGTGGCCCTGCTTCGCATCCTTTCCTGCAGAGAACTGCGGAAGAGCCCCCTGAATTCTCCCCTGGAGGGTTACGCACAGGAGAAGGATCCTGTCTGACTTCCTCCTGTGGATGCACTTACCTAGATTTGCCTTCCCCGCCCTGCCATCTCTTGACCTTGATCCAAGTGACTCTGGGGTGGGCGTGTGCCGTGCAGCGTGATTGCGCCTGCGGTCCCTCGGCCCGACGCGTTCCTCTCCTTGCCGCCGTCCACGCCTTCTCCAGAATCCCCGCCGAGCCCTGGCCTCTCTCGCCTTCTGCCCCCAGATCCTGCAGGCCCTCGGGAAGTCCTACCACCCCGGCTGCTTCCGCTGCGTCATCTGCAACGAGTGCCTGGACGGGGTGCCCTTCACCGTGGACTCCGAGAACAAGATCTACTGTGTCCGAGATTACCACAAGTGAGGAGGGGTGGGGCGGAGAGGGGCCGTGCGTGCGGGCCACGCTGATCTCATGGAGTGAGGAACGGACGCCCGCCGGGGCGCCTCCGCAGGCCTGTACCTTAGTCCACAGTCGGGAGGTCGGCCGATGCCGGTGCAGACAGGAGGTGGTTACAGAACCACGTTTACTGGAAAACACAGAGCCTCAAAGCCCTGTGATCAGATCCCCTCGAGGCTCGGGAGGCATCTGTCAGGCCCGGTGGCTCCAGCTTTAACTTCCAAAGGCAGCGATTCGGCGCTGGGCACCGCCACCCTCAATCTGCCTGGGCCTGTGCCAGGCACCCGGAGGGAGGCAAACAGGGCCGTCTCCATCCCTAGTAGGTTGTGGGGAGAGGGTCCGGGTATGCTTGGTGCCGCCGGGGGAGCGATCCCGTGGCACGACTGAAATACCTCCCAGAGAATGAGCCGGGCTGCCTGGATGCGAGGGCTGGAGGGGTTCGCCTGATGAGCGATGGGTGGGAGGCCGGCCCTGAGGAAGGCTCCGGGGTCTTGCCTCCCAGAGACAGCACGACACTCCCTTTACTGCTTCTCTCGGCAGGGTGCTGGCCCCCAAGTGTGCAGCCTGTGGGCTTCCCATCCTTCCACCTGAGGTAAGGCGCGCTCTCGCACCTGCCCCTGGCGGCTCCCTGACATGAGTACGTCCCTCGGGTCGCTTACAAAGATCTGTGTCCTGTCCTTCTACCGTCTAGAAAGTCCTTCTGGGGCACCTGGGTGGCTCAGTCAGTTCAGCTCGGTCGTGACCTCTCAACCTCGGCTCAGGGCGTGATCTCCCAGTTCACGAGTTCGAGCCCCGCGTCGGGCTCTGTGCTGACAGCTCGGAGCCGGGAGCCCGCTTCGGATTCCGTGTCTCCCTCTCTCTCTCTCTCACCCTCTCAGAAATAAATAAATAGGGGTGACTGGGTGGCTCGGTCGGTTGAGCATCCGACTCTTGACTTCGTCTCGGGTCACGATCCCGGGATCACGAGATCGAGCCCCAGGTCGGGTTTTGCACGGAGCGTGGAGCCTGCTTGCGATTCTCTCTCTCCCTCTGCTCCTCCCTCTCTCTCTCTCCCTTTCGCTCTCTTTCTCCAAAGTAAATGAATATATAAAATATTTAAATAAATAAATAAATAAGTAAACGTTAAAAAAAAAAAAATCAGAAAATCCTTCTGCAGTCTCACCTCTGACCCTAATAGTGTCCTCACCAAGAAGGCCCTTTCGTATTAACTGGCTTCCCCAGCCCAGCATCCTTCTTGTGGCCCATCCGTCCCTACAGTCGTCCAACTGCCTGACTTGATAGTGACACCTAGATTAGAAGGTGAGCAGAGTGGGGCGCCTGGGTGGCGCAGTCGGTTGAGCGTCCGACTTCAGCCAGGTCACCATCTCGCGGTCCGTGAGTTCGAGCCCCGCGTCAGGCTCTGGGCTGATGGCTCGGAGCCTGGAGCCTGTTTCCGATTCTGTGTCTCCCTCTCTCTCTGCCCCTCCCCCGTTCATGCTCTGTCTCTCTCTCTCTCCCCCAAAAAAAATATAAACGTTGAAAAAAAAAATTAAAAAAAAAAAAAAAAAAAGAAGGTAAGCAGAAAGCCCGCCTTTCGTTCATTTTCTCTTTTAAAACCTCACTCTCATGTAGGTGGTTTTCTCAGGGTTGACCCTGACGTTGCAGAAGGTGTGGCTGCTGTCCCTCTGACTTCCTCTCTCATCGGTTCAAGGTGTCCTTTCTCCAGCCGGTGTGGGACTTCACTACAGAGCTGTGCTCTTCCGAGGCCACCTACTTGTCGCCTTGGGAATCTCACGGGTCCCCCAACCGGCCTCTTGTTCTTACTTTCCTTCCGTCCAGGGCTCAGATGAGACCATCCGCGTCGTGTCCATGGACAGAGACTTCCACGTGGAGTGCTACCACTGCGAGGTAGGCGCCTCCCTGCCCGGACTCCCCAGGCCCGTTTCAACAGTACAAGAGGAAGGCATCCTGGGTTGACTGGGGCCTGAGGTGGTCAGCAGGGTGTGGTCGAGGGCTGCCCTCCAGAGCTGCCCTCCAGGTCAAGGGGTGCAGCCTGATTTGTGGGGGAGGTTGGAGGAGATGCAGGTGTTGGGGACGGGGGGGGGTCTTTGCTGCCTTCCCCGCATTTGTTAACAGCCGAGTCCGGAAGCCACCGCAGCTGAGCGGTGGGGGGGGGGGGGGG